TCTTCAGTAAGAAGTCTTAAGTGCTCTAAAATTTTACGATTTCTCAAATAATCACCGTCTTGATTTCGGTTTTCACTGTAAAGCTAAGAGAATTGGTAAATCTTGAACAGTTTCTTGGCCTCAGAAACTGAGGAACTGGAGCGATAATACGAATATGAAAGAGTTTTTGGTATTTATATGCAACTTTTTTTCCTAAATTTTTTTTATTACTAAAAAATTCCTAAGATTTTTCCCAAACACTTCAATTTTTGAAGATTCACAAGCACAGCAATGAAAATTAATTTCAGCAGTAAAAATAGCAAATGCAGCGGCGACAAAAGTTGCTTTTTTTTAAAGATTTATTTGCTGAACTGGTTTTGATTATCTAGTGACAGTATCAGTTTTTCATTAAGAGCTACTGCTGGTGTTTCAAATAAAATTAGATGATACAAAAGAGTCTAACTTTTTTTTCAAAAAAACCGTTAAAATTGTTACTTCATTTTATTTTATGATTTTCTGGTATATTTTTCTATGTAATCTAGATTAAATTTGCACTAGTTTTTATCTTTTTTTCTATAATAACAGTTTACACATGTAACTTCTTTTTAGGCTACAGTACGAGAAATTGGATTTATCATTTGAATGGATGAACATGGAATGAAAAAAATTTGCTTTGATTTAGAAGATCGCCCACCGTTATCGTACTGGGAAAAATGGAATACAAAAAGTATTGTGTCGGCGTCGGTATCCAGTCTTCCGCAGCAGAACATTGATGAACGACATCAAAAAATCAGGCCAGAAGGTTATACAACTAATGACAGGAATTTTTTCTTTCGCAATAAAAAAATCTTTCTGTTTTAATTAAGTACTATGCAGATTTCAGATTAGACTAAAGAGAAACAAAAAAAAAACAAAAATAAAACGAAAATTTTTATTTATTTGAATAACTGTTCTTGCAGAAAAAAAACTGATGAAACAATTAAATGTAAGCCGTTTACCGTTAATAGCTAATTCAGTTTTATTTGTCTCTTTTCTCTTCTACTCTTTTTTGTTCTTTCTTTTTGACTTATCGAAGTAATTGAGCGTTAAAAGAGATTTACATCTTAACGAGAAGTTTATTTGGAAATGTCCTACCACTTACACTGGCTCCTTTATTTCCACTCTAAAACACTAGTTTTTGATGACATAGCGAACAATTTTAGCATATTTTCAGAGCCTCTCTTCCACTCTTCTTTAAATTTCTTCTCACTTATTTATTTCTCATTCTTTCATAAAGTTTCTATCGAAATTTTATCAGTTTTACAGTCAGTCTTTGCAGTAACAAGGTTCTCTATTTCTTTTTATTTTCTTTATTTTTGCCCAACAACTGTTTACATAAATTTCTGAACCTTATTTTTTTTAAATTTCCTATGACTTGGCAAATGAACAGTAATCAAATAAATGTTTCTAAAATACAAGAAAAATATTATTAAGATTGGATCAAAGCACCAGAATTTGTACCGCGATCAAAGCAGTTACTTACCCAAAGTTTCTATGTGGAACCTCAATATGCACCTGAATCGTCAAGCAAAAGCTATTTTGATCCATCGTATTCTTACAGCAACATATGTGCCGCTGTCGGATCTGCAGATACCCTAGCTGGAAGCCGTCCAACAGTATCGGCCTACCAACCACAACTTGACTTCAATCCTTTTAACAGTAACAGTTTATCACTTATATCAACGGTAAACGTTATAACAGTTTAGTGTTTATTGGTTACAAAGACTTTGGTGGATGGTTAGCTTATGACTACTACGACTGTTCAAAAAGATAACAAGCTTTTAATGCGACAAATCACTTTTATTGTTCTCAACTATTCCTTTTCTATCCTCCTAAAAAATTTAAAAATCAAAGTTTCAATAATTTATTCAAACT